CAGGTGCATGCCACGGCAGGAAGCAGATCGACGTGGCCATCAAGGTGCTGAAGCACAGCACGGAGAAGACAGACAAGGACGAGATGATGCGCGAGGCACAGATCATGCACCAGCTGGACAACCCCTACATCGTGAGGCTCATTGGCGTCTGCCAGGCCGAGGCCCTCATGCTCGTCATGGAGATGGCGGGCGGCGGGCCCCTGCACAAGTTCCTGCTCGGGAAGAAGTGAGCCCTGGGGCAGGCTGGGCACGTGGGGCTTGGAGCCTCGCAGGCTCATCCGTCCACGAGCACACACTTGTTTTCACTGACTCCTGCCCCACCCCGCACACCCCGACGCCCACACTCACACCCACAAGGCAGAGCCGTTAACAGCAAGGTGTCCTCATGCCTCCAACTCTTACCCTCACAGACACGATCTTTTACACTCACCGAGGCGTGGGCCCATCACCTCCCGTCCCCACTGGTGCACATGTGTTTGTGGTGTAACCTGGCTCACACGGTCAGTTCTTCCACAGGTGTTTACTGTGCAATTTCTCTGTAATCGGGACTATTACCAGCCCTTGGGATTCATCAGTGAACAAAAGAGACAAAGATCTCTGTCCTGTGTTCTGGCTGGGGAAGAGAGGTTTTCAAGAATAATTATAATACAACAGAGAGTATGTTGGACAATAAGTCCTATAAGAAAGACGATTAGGAGTGTCAGGGTGGGAGATGAAAAGTGAGAAGCTGAGGCCTGTGTAAACTGAAGGAGGCAGCCAAGTGTAGCTGTGGGGAAGAGCGGTCCAGGCTGGGGGCGCAGCCAGTGCAAAGGCCCTGAGGTGTGCTTGTGCCAGGGGCAGCGGAGGAACTGTGAGGAAGGCCCTGTGCCTGCAGCAGAGTACGTGAGGAGGAGAGGGGGAGCTGATGTGGGTAGGGAGGTGCTGGGGCAGATCACGCAGGGCCTTGTGGGCCATGGGGAGACCTTGGACTTTCACCCCAAGTGAGGTGGGAGCCCTGGGAGGCTCTGAGCAGAGGAGCGGCCAGACCTGACTTCTGTGTGGGGACAGACCATGGGGGGTTAGGGCAGAGGTGACTGTTCTTTTGGTCCAGGCTAACGATGATGAGGGCTGGGCCCTGGTGGCAGAAGCAGAGGTGGAGAGAAGTAGGAGGATTCCGAAGGGATTCTGAAGGCAGGGCTGCCAGGGTGTGCTGACAGATTGGAAGCTGGGTGTGAGACAGAGGAGCTGATGGAAAGGCTAGTGCTCTGGCCCAAGTAAATGAAAGGATGTAGCTGCTGGCGGAGAAAGGGGACAGTGGGGAGAGCCGGTTGTGTGCGCATGTGTGTGTGAACAATCAGGAACTTAGCTTTGTCTTTTTTTTTAATGGATTTTTTTTAAAGATTTTATTTATTTGACAGAGACACAGCGAGAGAGGGAACACAAGCGGGGGGAGGGGCAGAGGGAGAAGCAGGCTTCCCGCTGAGCGGGGAGCCCGATGTGGGGCTCGATCCCAGGACCCTGGGATCATAACCTGAGCCGAAGGCAGACGCTTAACGACTGAGCCACCCAGGCGCCCCTAGCTTTGTCTTTATTATTTTCGAGATGCCCGTGAGACATCTCCCCTAAGGGCATATAGAGGATGCAGGTCAATGTGTACGTTTGGGAATCATAGTATGTGGGAGAAATGTAGAAACTTGAGACTAGATATGGACAGAGGTTTCTGCCTTTTTTTGTTCACCTCCCCACCATATCCCCAGCCCGTGCCTGGCACACAGCAGATGTCCAACAAGCACCTGCTGAACACATGCTCAGCTGGGTCAGAGAAGTGGGCTTTGCCCCCTTGGGAACTTGGGCTGTCCCCTCCCAGCTGACCCTGCCTTCCCCTGTACCCCAGAGAGGAGATCCCCATCAGCAATGTGGCAGAGCTGCTGCACCAGGTGTCCATGGGGATGAAGTACCTGGAAGAGAAAAACTTTGTGCACCGTGACCTGGCGGCCCGCAATGTCTTGCTGGTCAACCGGCACTATGCCAAGATCAGTGACTTTGGTCTCTCCAAGGCACTGGGTGCCGACGACAGCTACTACACTGTGAGCCCCCGCCCCTTTGGCACCCAGGTGGATGAGGTTGGTGGGTGGAGGGTCCCTGAACCCTGCCCTGGCAGCATCTCCCCATTCTCAGGCCCGCTCAGCAGGGAAGTGGCCGCTCAAGTGGTATGCGCCCGAGTGCTTCAACTTCCGCAAGTTCTCCAGCCGCAGTGACGTCTGGAGTTATGGGGTCACCATGTGGGAAGCCTTCTCCTATGGCCAGAAGCCCTACAAGGCAGGTGTGGGCAGAGGCGGGTAGGTGGGTGGGAAGGGGTGTGAGGGTGAGGTGGCCCCCGTTACTCACGTTGCACTTGGCTCTGGCTCGAGCAGAAGATGAAGGGCCCCGAGGTCATAGCCTTCATCGAGCAGGGCAAGCGGATGGAGTGCCCGGCAGAGTGTCCGCCTGAAATGTATACACTCATGAGTGACTGCTGGATCTACAAGTGAGTGCCAGTGGGTGGGAAGCGTACCCAGCTGAGCTGACACCTAGACCTGGGGTGGAGGTAATGGTGCCCAATAGTCCAAAACTCATCCCACCCAAGACTCCCCCAGTTCACAGCCTTTCCAACCCTCGGTACCTTTACTTTCTGCACCTCCACTCAGTGCCTCAACACACTGACCCTAGGGTGCTCTGATGGACCCACACCGCACCACCTCCTGTAGACACCTAGTGCTCCAGCATCTAAAACGTCTGTCCCCCACCAACCAACACTCAACACATTCTCAAACAAGTCAGTACTCTTTTACCCAAAATATGGTACCAGTGGTCAGGGCATGGGATAATACTCCAGTCTAATTCCTCAGTCCCCCACTATCCAACATCCAACACCTATTTACTCTCACAGGCAACCTCTACAGCACCCAAACACTCAATATATTCAAAACCTCCACCCCGTCTGGTGTTCAAAGTCAACACTTGAACACCCCAACTCCTAAAATCGTCAGTATTTCAACTTCCCATCAGAAGATAGGCAACATGCACCCAAAAAAGCTATTGTCCTACACTGAGCCATGCAATGCATGGATATTCTAACATTTGATACCTTTCCTATCCCAGCATCCATTATTCCACTGGCCAACACCTATGACATTGACACCCAAACACCTAAGCCACCTGATTAAATAGACACCCTATTTATGATAAATAATAAATGGTCAGTCCATCCAACATGTGTTAACCTGGCCCCCATTGGGACATACTCAGTACACCAACACCGCAATACTGAAAGAGGCTAGCATCTTTAATAGCCTAACTCCCCACTAGCTGAACCCACTGTCAGTGCTCCAATGTTCTGCTAGATGAGGGGCAGCGTCCTTGCACCCATATAAGCCTGCACCTAGCACCCAATATACTGGCCATTGGCACATGTGCAGTGCTTCAGCATTCAATATCCTAGCTCCCCTTGGTTGATAGTTGTTACCCCGACACTCAATGAATTCAATTCCCTAATCAGTCCGATTCCCTAATCTTCATCAGTTAACACTCAACAGATTGTTCCCCCAACATCCTGTATGTCAGCAGCTCTTCTATTACGTGGGACGGCAACACCTGAATTCTAGTCCTCTTATACTCAAGAAACCTCTCCATTACCCCAAACTCCACACCCTGACAACCCACTGATTTTCTGAGCCCCCTTTGTGTCTACTCTCCAGCCGAAGCTGGGTTGTGGGGATGTAGTCAGTGGCCTGGATCTACCTAACCCCCACAGGTGGGAGGACCGCCCAGACTTCCAGGCCGTGGAGCAGCGCATGCGGGCCTACTACTACAGCATGGCAAGCAAGTCTGAAGGCCCCCCAGGGTGTGGAAAGGGGACTGAGGCTGCTTCTGTCTGAGCTCCAGCCAGCCTTGGGGCCTGCAAGCTGCAATGCCCCAGCTTCAGCCCCATCCTAGGACCTCCAGTTTGGCTGAAGTCAGCTTAGCTCCTCTTCCCAAACCAGCTGGGCTGTGGTAGGGCAGGCAGCTGAAGCCTCAAGCTCATACTGATCTAGTGTTCCCCACCTGGTCACCTGTCCTCTTTGGCTGGGGGAGGAGGGAAGGCCCTGGGAGGGTGGGATTGTATAACCTGCTCCTGGGCTGGTATCTACTGGGCAGCCCTGAGCTGAGGGTGCATTGCTTACAATAAGGACCCTCCTTCCTCTGGGCCCTGAAGGGGAAGACTCCGGGAACTCTCAAGTGGCAAGACCTCAATCATTTGTAATAAACTCAGCTTCTCTCTTGTTTGAGTCCCTCATCTTTTCTGGGGTGAAGGGGGACCAGGGAAGGGGCCGGGTCATTGGAAGGGGTCAGTGAGAAGTGCCTGAAAACAGCTTTTCTTGGTGGGCCTGGATGTGGTTCCTAGGGCCTTGGGGTCTGGTCTTCCCACTTCTCTGCCCTGAGGACATTTTCGTACAAGTGAGGAGCTATGGCAGAGTTGGGAACTGAGGCAGGTGCGCCGCTGGGCCTCCGCTTCCCTGTCTGTGGATTGAGTGAGGTGGGTGCTTTCCATGCTGGTTGCTTGTTAGCATCACCTGGAGAGGTTTTTTTTTTTTTTTTTAAGATTTATTTATTTATTTGACAGAGAGAGACACAGCGAGAGAGAGAGGGAACACAAGCAGGGGGAGTGGGAGAAGGAGAAGCAGGCTTCCTGCC